TTTTTCTATATGTGTGTGCGTGTGTGTGTGTGTGTGTTGTTTGTTTATATATATATATATATGTGTGTGTGTGTGTGTTGTTTATATATATATATATGTGTGTGTGTGTTTGTGTGTATTTTGTCTGTAAACACAACTTCAATATGATTGATCTGACTTCTTGGAAATACGATGCATTGCAGGGTATAATGGATAATCAAAATCTGTACCTGATGATGCGACATGCCGAGACCCTCGAGTATTAAAGGTATAAAGTAACAATCTGTGAATAAATTTATTTAACTTTGCCTTGATTTTCAAAATATCTGTTATAGTGTTTCATGAGGGGACAAAGAACTTTTTATATCACTTGCTAGTTATTGTTCGTGTGTTTCTCCTGTAGCTGCGAATTTGTGGTCTTAGAATGAGTTGTGTTTCACATATATATGCAAGCTTTGTATAATACCTGCCGTTAATCGAATATCAAGTTCCGTTGCAGCCGTAAAATCAACACCTAGCAGTTGTCGGGGAACATTCGATACTCGTAATCGACCTAGAGAACAATGCAGCATGGAAGGATCAGGTCGATACTTAGGCACACTCAGGTCAAATTCTGTACAGTATATAGTATACACTGACAAAAGACATCGTAGTACACATTAAAGTGCTCTCTTCATGGCAAGAGACAACACAAGTTGTGTAGCAAGAGCTGATGTTCGACTTGCATTAGGAATCGATGAAGCTTAGTGGTGTATGGTGATCATCTCCGACGCTCACTATTGGTTCTGGGATGATCTTGAGATGTACCACGTCGCCCTTGTCTAGTCCTTAATTCTAGATCCGGCCATCTGTCTGTAGTGAAGTATTTAAGAACAACTTACAGAGGTGTTTGCGACCGTTTGGTGTACACTTAAACGCCAAGAGGGACAATTCTTGGAACGTCCTCAAAGACTGGTGAGCACTTGACAGTTCATACCAATCACTATCGCAGTTTTGAATTTAAGTTCGAGCTCACAGAGGATATCAGATACTTTTCGCGGTATAATTTTGTAGTCAAAAGTAATATACTAGTTCGCGATTCGAACTCGAGGGTACATACTCGAACAAACGTACGCTATCAAGCCCATTGGTTTTCATACCTCACTATACAGTTTTGGAGCTAGACGTTCCCGAGAGATGACAACAGCAGCTTTGCATTTCTTTGATACAAATGGGAAAGGGCATTCTGGCTTTTCCAATTGACGAGAGATCACAACGAACAAGATACCTCTATCTTTAATAACAACTTTATTGGTTCGCCTAAAAATTCGTCTATAGGCCTCATTTTGTGCTTTCCGCATGCAAATTGCTTGAGCTTATTTCCTGTTGAAGCAGCGATTAACCATGTATGCTGAACCATTCAGCATAGGCCAGCTTAAGATAAACACATAAACAATCGTATAACCGATAATAGATTGAAGACTGTCCCGCAATGGATCCACCTTGGCCACAGCCCCCGCCCGCCATAACCTCGATCACCAAACTCACATTACAAATACTCGTGACAACAACAAATATGAACACGGCACACTATCACCAACTGGACTTGCCCCTAGTCTGAGTAGTTCCTAGTTTTAGGACTGCGCAGTAAACTAGAAGCCCTGTAACGGTGTCTCTTCTGCTCCACTTAGTTTCCGCCAGCGACTTGTTCTACCTCTTCGGTTGGGCGACGCTGAAACATACCCCACTCCACGGTCACACCCGGGCCAAATGCCAGAAACATCACCTCCTCGGCGTCCGTGGTGTTGAACACTTTCTCGAGCACAAGCAGAATGGCCGAAGAACCGAGGTTTCCGTTCTCATTGAGGGTCTCATAGCTCATATCCAGACAATTCATGGGGAACTTGTGGTTCGCAATGAGCACCTTGTTAGGATAGCGGGACCCCCTGGGTGCACCGCCAATGCGGGCAGTTGCTCCTGGATGGCATGGTCACCCAGAACCTTCTCTAGAAGCTCTGCGCCGTTTCCAGAGTCCATGTACTCGCCCAGAGCGCTTGGCACATCCCAGTGGAGAGTCATGGTGTAGCAGCTGCGATACGGCTGCCCGTACACCTGAGGACGCATACCCAGCAGATGCTTGGTATCGGGAACAAGGTTGCACCCCGCCTGACGTATTCTCCACTGTCCTTCAGGCGCCACAACGAACGCTCCAGAACCATCGGCGAACAGTGACATGGCCACCAGATCCTGGGGATCGGTGGCCTCGGGATGGTATTGCACGGATGCAAGCTCAGTGCACACTACGAGCACAACCCCGCGCTCGCACAATGTCTCGAGCTGCCCGGAGACAGGTCATGCCGGTAAAGCACCCGTTGTAGTTGAGCTCCATCTTGCACGCGTTGAGCGGGAGATTCAACGAAATGATCAGATTGGATGCGATACTCGGCTCCACCCATCCACTCGTGCGCGTGGTGACCACGTGGGTGATTTCGCTGGCGTCACCAGTCCACTTGGCCAAGGCTTTCTCCGCCGCTTCCACACTGATAGTCAAGGCGAGGTGCTCCCACACCACCTGTCGCTCGGCTTCGGTGTACGATTCCTGCGAGACGTCGCGCTCGCCAGACCCAGGATCACCGGCGTTTTTATCCTGGGTGACCAACGGGTTCCCTCGTGGAATTGGTAGGCGCTGTAGTTGATATTGCGAATACCGGTACTGGCGGACACTTTCTGAAAGGCTTCAATGACCTTCTCCGGCTGGCCACGCTTGTGGCGATGCTGCTCGACGACAGCGTGGAAGTGGTCAATGGGCACCTTCTGAGGTCATGCAGTGGCGTATGCCGCGACGTAAGCGTCGGAGCGAGAGGATTTCTGATCTTGGGTGGAGAACATGATGTTTTGTTTATTATGAAGATATGAATGTTTGTGGGGACTATACTGGTGTTTATATACTATATGAAGACCATTTACTAGTCAGTCTTCGGCTTCGTCGTTCTTGGCTGTATTCACACATAGATCTATCTTCGATTTCATGTGTTGGATTGTAATATCAAAGATCTGTTTCATACAAATTGCATTAACACAGACATCTATCTTCGATTTCATGTGTTGGCATAAATAAATCAATATCAAAGATCTGTTTCATGCAAGTTCTGCCATGACTAGATTCAAGATTGTTGTGAATCATAAACAGTGATAAAATAGATTCGACAATGATGGATGAAATTTGGTGAAACATGTCACGCGCTATGTGTATGAGCTGAACACCCCAAACGAAACACGACGGAGCTGGACATCAAACGCACTTGCATTTAAAATATTTAGACTGCTGTAGAAATTTAATGGTAAGACCGCGCCCGAAATTTACCTCTAACGAAATTACAGATTTATGACAATGTAATACGCTCTATCGATTAAGTATATATCCATCAACCGCGTCTATACAAATGTACTGTATCGGAGAGGGTGAGGTCTTAAAAATTGAGAGTCCTGATAGCAGTTACAGATACGTGTATCTTTTTATTTCTAACCGAACCAACCGTACTATGTGCGTAGTATAGACCCAAAGCAGATTTGAGTTTAAATATTCTATGCTTGGTCTAAAAAGGGCGAATCACAGCATGACTATTTTCTACAATACGCTACGAAAGAGAAAAGTGGATGACGGCTATTCAAATAAATACTTCTTCTGAAGTAGCGCTTGCTTACATCTTTACTCATGGGCATTACATCACACTCCTGTAGTTTTTGATAGCATTTTGTGGTACATAGAATTGTTCCATCAAAGGGTGAAGTTTGCAGCTCGTTTATTACCTTTTTGGTGAAGTAGCTATTGGAAAGACACACACGGGGCGGCGGGCCTATTCGCCCAGCGTCCGTGTACTTAAAGTCCGCACTACTGTCAGTGAGACAAACCATAATACAGAACTATTATTCGATCATTGCGTGTAAAGTGCGGTATCTATCTACCGTATTCGGGTCTAAAATGGTGTTGGATATGTGTGTGCATATTCCTCATCACCTTTCGCAGATGGACTTCAACAACGCCGAGTAAACATGCTCCAGAGACGCAGGGGAACGAATGGCGAACACTCTTCAGGTCGCAATGCAACAACAAGAAATACATACAAGTGCTACAACTAAGGCCCAGCGCATCAGCGCCGATTTCCCATCAAGACATGGAAATGCAATAGGAGTCTGTCATCCTGTCATTCTTAGATGTTCTCGTTGATATTCTGATATGCGGTCGTAGTTGTAATGTTTGTAATGTTCAAAGAGACAATACTAGAAAAGCTACCAAGGAGATGCAGTATGATTTGCACGCTTCGGTTAGATAGTAAATACACACGTGTGAGTGAATACATAGACTCCTCTATAACTCTCTCTACTGTAGAGTGGATCGTATGTTTAGTTTACAAAATTGAATCGGCAACATGTAGTAATGTACCTCAAAGAGTCATCAGTCAAGGTCGGCCCAAAGGCTCAATATTGAATGACACGGCAAGGCAATTTATCTGGTTTGCGTTGGACATATTTCACCAAATCACACTCCAAATCACAACCGAAAGAGTAAGAGAGTATATCAAAATGTATTATATTCAGGCATTAAAACCGCTCTATTGTTTCAGTTTCTTCACAATTATAGTTTAATATGTAATTTGAAGGCTCTATGTTATTTTTAAATTAGTTAGCACCATAGTGATGTGAATAGTCTACTAAAGAATATATGTTTCCAGGTCTCTTGATCGCATGTTATGTGTGTATAGCGAGATGATACATACATGATGTGCTACAAATGTGCTACTAGTTACGCCCAGAGCACCATCCGCACACATATATTTGCAGTTGACTCGGAACTACACCACCGGCAGAACTATCGCTGGGGATACGCACATTGTACCATCGAGCCCTATTCAATTATTCCAACAATTCTCCAAATGGCAGGCAACCGACGGCAATTTCAGAACAGAACAAAGACTTGCAAATAGCGATACATGTATACGACCTCGGTGTCCCTCACACACAGAACAAGACACATTGCGCTTCATCCTGGTACTCTCAGATGTTCTCGGATACTATTCTGATATGCCGAAGCGTAGCTGGGGAGGCAATACCCAATAATAAATTTCTCGATCAAATCGTACTTCGGGTAGAGAGTTGATAAAAAGGAAAAGAAAAGTTTTGCGAAATTGAATCGACAATACCTCACTGAGCTCAGCATATAGTTGTCTCTGGTTTGATTTCATATTGCACAAAATCATACGCCAATGTATATCATGATATTAATTATATTATTGAGAGAAGCTCAGGTGGCAGTACGTTTCCATACTACGCCTCGGCCTCTCAATACTTTTTATGTTTATTCGAGATCTCACGACTCCACTTATATTCTTTGTAATCTTTCTGTGATGACAGGGGACTTGTATGCCCTGCCTACTTTATCAATCCGTGGTCTGTGTTGAGAGCTATAAACCACGGAACCTGGACTCCTCACCCACTGCCCAATACTTCATACTCCTTTGTATTGGCGTGTGTGAGGTATACCAGAATCTATATACAATGCATCCGTCTTAATGTGACTGAGATACAAACATATCAGTCTTAATGTGACAGATATGCACACACAGTGCTTCTAAAATTGGTATGGTAAATGTACTTATACTTGTAATCTGTACACTATATATTCAAAACGTTCCGTGATTGTAATTATACTCGTATTATGTTGGCCGTGTGTGTCAGCAAGCCATTAACTTATACAGTGGAGCATATTTGGCCGTTCAGTACTACAACTGCTCGCACTCCTGGGCACACCCGAGCGTTGGTAGTGGCACAGGAGCCGATTAAGTGTGAATGAAAGGAAGCTCACATATGCCGTTGCCGAGTGTGACATGTAGTCCACCCCCGTGTATGCATTCGATGAGCCAGCTATGTCCTTTAGGTGTGTGCATCCGCTCGTCGACGTCAAAAGCGGTACGTATCGTGAAGCTGTGGTAGAAATACCATTGAGTGGTTGGGGTTAGCACGGATCAGAATCTTCAAATAAAAGGCAAGTTTGTGAACTCGGGCTGGCATACGACTAGAACGCAAGGCTGTGAATAGGGTAGATTGAAGACAAGCATGGATAGGCCTGGGACATTGTCATTTACCTACCGAAATCCGATTTTACTTCGACTTTCGTGTGAAAGTAGATTCTGATTCGACTTTCGTGTGAAAGTAGAGTTCTCTGGTATCGACCAGCATCGCAAAAACGCCATCACAATCCCTCAATCTACAAAACCTGATAACTGACAATGCTATATGTACCACACACCCCCGACATGGGATTAAAACGCACCAACAAGTAGAAACACAGCGTTTTCACACACTTCAAGAAGACATACGATAGACTGAGCACAGGTTCACCAGAGCCCACATCGCCCACGCCTGTGCCTCTGGACAGCCAGCTAAGGCCAGGTCTACGATGGGTACGAGCGACCGGTACTTGATGGTGCGCTCAGTCCTCAGATCCCAAGACCGCACGGATTCATTGAGTGTGGACAACACGGACGTACGGGATATCTGTACGTTGTATTGTTGCCAGACGGGCGCCGTCTCGGAGCTGTAGAGATACGGTACGTTGGGGAAAAGGGTGTTGAGGAAGGGTGGGGTGTGTGCACCGGCACGTATAAACATGTTTGCACCGCTATGAGATTGTTCGACATACCAGTACTCCAATACACAACTGCAGAGGAATGTGTAGATTTTTTTTCCATGAGTCGTACGTCTGTCGTTCACCACTCGCCCGTGCGTGCAGTGCCCCACGACTGACTGGGCAAGCGCCACCAACCAGAAACATGCTGGAAACACAACATCACCCATATATATACTAGACCATACGAGCAAAAGCACTGATATATATATATATATATTTATGTATGTATATACTAAACCATACGAGCAGAGGTCCTCATATATGTACTAGAGCATGTGAGAGGTCCAGAAAGCTAGCCGTGTTCGTTCGTCAACGACGGCAGACAAAAGGCCAGTACAACATCCAGAGGTATACCTACAGAGAGGCCCACAGATGTAGTTTTGAATAACTACCTAATAACAAGCACCTGTGCACCACACACCAGAGATGTGCCTACGAAGACAAAAGACAGCCGAGGATGTAGCCCGGCCAACACTACGCTACGCTCATAGCACATCGAGGCATTCAGGCGCATACAAGCTGATATATCCACGCAACAACGCATGTACCAAAGATAACCTTACGACAACGTTCTAGCCCTATCGAACTACACCGCATATACACACAAACACTCGCGTACACGCACAAGTTACCTATCGTACTAAACCGCATATACACACAAACACTCGCGTACAATCACGAGGACATCTAAAGCACTAGCCGTGTCAGCTCTACGATGCCAGCATATCCCAGCATTCATGCACATACCACAGATGAGCCAGAATCCCCGCCGCGTTGTAGCCCACTTCAATGTCCATGTGTGTGCGACTCCTCTGCAGCAAGTTCCTGTGACGGACAGAGGTGCAGTGGTTGGGGTGAGCTAGTTGCGCCGGAGGGCTTCATAGTCCTAGGCGGTCACTCTACCGAGTAGTGTCTGGTGTGGGCCAGTGGGGTGTGCGTAACGCGTGCGTCTATATACATTACCCATACAGTTAGTTGTACTAGACCTCTTTAGTTTGACCCATATAGTACAGGGCGACCAACCGGCTCGCCTATGGGAATACAAGCAACATGCATACATACATACATGCATACATACATACATACATACATATACATAGGCATGAGGATACATACCAAGGGTAAGTCATCATACACGATCACCAGCCTGATCGACACTCTGACAGGCTTTTCAATATTTTCAATACAGTGTCATTGCGACCCGAAAAGGACAAGCACACGAACACCGACATACAACCCGAATTGTGCTTATGCCTGGGATTGGACCACACGACCACACGACAACACACTACAGCATACAGCCGTACATACGTTAAGAATTTAAGTATAACATCGCTCAGTAACCAGTGACGCAGAGACGGCACTTCCGCGACATTCCCTACTAACCCCAACATATTCCGCAGAAGGTTCTCCGAGATGCTTTCGGTTTCAAACTTCTACACGGATAATGGATATAGGTTGGTAACACGAATTGAGTGTGATGAACGGATTGAAACGTCAATACGAGCACGACAAAGGGCGAAATGAACGGATTCGGCGAACGAATTGGTCAGGAGAATTGTGATGGTACAACTGAGTCTTTGAGAGGATATACCAAATCTACATGAATACGAATAGCGGCGAGACAAATGTATTGGAAAACACGAATTGAGGAGACCGACCTCCTGATACAATAAAATATTCCATAAATTGAGATATATATTATATAAAAATCCCATAATATAATTTGAGGGCGGAACACAAGACCTGGGAGTCATTTACGCGTAGTACAGACTCGCACCAACTCTCTTCTGGGCGTGTGCGTACATCCTAAAACCCAATCTGCACGATCATCCAGAGCACAGAACGACCAGTTACCTTCCAGGACAATTACATAGTGGATAGAATAATAGTATACGTAATAGACAAACCACTATACCTCCTGTGCGTATGCATAGTCCGAATACAAATTAAATCGTTGTGACGAAGCAGCGCCCATGCCCATGCCCATGCCCATATTCAACCACATACTAACGACCATGCACCACCACGTGCACACACTACATACCTCGAACGTCTTCACAATCATGGCCAATCCCCCACACTCCAGGAACAGCGCGCTGTTGCCGGGTGCCTCGTCGGTGATGTTCCATAGCGCCCCCCACACACTCTCAATGACTGTGGCCATCTGCATGTCCTGGTCCAGCCCCACGCCAATCAGCTGCACCAGATACGCCACCACCCCTGCGTCGCCTAGGAGGGTCTAGGGGGGTGTCAAAGAGGGGTGTGCAATGTGTTAGGAGGTTGGGTGTCTATAATAAAAGACACGTGCGAGAATAACGTCTGCCTTGAGTGTATAGGAGTGCATGTAAGGCTGGGATATATGATTGGTGTCTAGTCCCCATACACGCACGTATAGGTAGTCACACAAGCATGCGCAACTACTAACAACTAAGGAACATACCTTGTAGTCTACGCCCAGACAGACCCAGTTACCCGTCAGTCCCACAGCCACGCGCTGCAGTACCCCGCCCCTTTCCTTATCCGAATGGCGTATGGCCCCCGCCAGAAGCAGTGTAGGTATCTGCGCGATAAAGGGCTTGAGCTCACTCAGGTCAAAGTGGCACAGTATCAGGCATATGTTCTTCTGTATCTGGTAACACGCCTGGTGATCACCCAGCGCACGCACTAAAAGACCCAGCAATTTCTGTCGTAGACCCGGGTCTTGGTCCGTTATGGTCGGGCGTGTGACTTGGTATATGGATACAGATGCCGTTAGAATGACGTTGGAGTTGAGCCGATGTATCTGCAGCACTTCACACAGTGTGCTGAGTGCGGCGCGGCTCTCATCGGCTGCAGATGGTAAGGAAAGGTCGCAAGTATATCAATGAATGAAAGGAGTATATGAATATGTGAGAACTTGGCTGGGTCGAACAAAATGATACCGAATTGGAGTTCCATGTCATAACGAATGTGTTCCAAGATTGCTGGGGTGGCGTGTGTACGTATGACGTGAGTGGTTGTTGTTAGCAAAATGCTGACTCCCTGTTTCAAAAGTCCGCAATGCTCCAGACTCTGCAACACACGATCAACACAAACACCTTCAATGTCCATGCGAAATTTAATATCGCAACCCTACATATAATCCTAAACAGAGCCCTATATAGAACCCTACATAAAACCCTAAACCCCCTACAAAAAACCCTACATAAAACTCTACAAGAAACTGGTCTCATGGCGGTTACATAATAGCGAGCTAGATATCTATGAGCAGATCAGGGTAAAGTGTAAGACACACCGTCACGATTAATCGGAACAACCATACAACCCTGATGAAGCAGCGCAACACACACACACACCCTATACTTGCACCATGAGGTTTGCGGTAGGCACCTTAGACAGTATATCAAACCAACCACACTACACTATCAAACCAACCACACTACACTATCAAACCAACCACACTACATCACAGCCAGGCCACACACATGGCCGATGGCACCATAAACAGTTCAGCCCCATCCATTGGTTTGTGGACTGTACTTGGACCTGTATGCCGAACGAGCCTCGATGATAATGCAGGCTGAAGGAATCACACATCTAAATCACACATCTCACATACATCACACATCTCACATCTCACACCACACATCACACATCACACATCTCACATACCCGTGGTTGTGTTTTGTATGTTCCCCCTGTATAGCTTGTACAGGCACCGCAGCGCCCTGTGAGTCAATTCTGCGTCGTGTCGGTGATGCCGTAACATTGAGATGACATTGACCATGCGGAACTGGCCGCTGACCACTATATCATTTCTGAGTATAACTTCTGTAAACATGGATACGGGGACGCCGCATAGGCCAAGAAACCTCAATTTTGGACTACAAAAAGCACCCCCAAAAAAAACACACATAAAAGGCAATGTTTGATTGGAACAGTTAGAAGAGTGAAATGTCTCGATTGCTAAAAATTACTCGGGTAGTAAGTAGTGTTCTACGAGAGCCAGGTCAATTAAAAATCGGTCAGAGCGTTCATGTATATGTATATACGAGAAGCAGGTCAAATAAGAATCGGACAGTGCGATGTATATATATATGTATATATATATATATA